AGAATCCTAAACACATAAGGTCTCCAGATCCGGTTGGCAACAAATCGTAGATCTGAACAATTAATATCATATATGGCAACATATAACATTTAGCACATAAAGGCATTTTAGGCATCTTTCCTAAAATAAACTAGTGCTCGTGTCGAAAATATAACAGACACTTATCTCACATTCTTCACTTAGCATTCTAAGTTTAAGTCTAGAAATCCTACAAACTCCTAGTTCGCTTAAACTAATGCTATGATACCAACTGTGACATCCCTAAAATCACGGCAAAAAAAGACTGGTTTCATTTATGCTTTTAAAATAATTTCAGAGTAAATCCATTGATTTAAAAGAGTTGCGGAATTTGTCCCCAAAACAATACATGATAAAATAAGGTTTATCAAAGCATTTCTTAAAGAAATGTATCTTCATTATATATCAAAACTCGGGATGTCATGTTCCGATACAGACACAAAAGCATAAACAATAAAACATAGACCTTACACAGTTATATATAACTACGGGTCTATAAACAAAAACATCTTCACAAGTTCTCCAACTTATGCTCTCGCGCCACTACCTGTAATACAAAGAAACTGAGTGGGTCAGGCTTTGGAGCCTGGTGAGCATATAGGGTTTTAAACCCACAATAAATAACTATATTTAATTTCACCAACCAACAATAACCCGATTACGCATTCCCGTTATCCTCACTTTACATACCTATGACAACAACTATTACAAGGGACCTAATCTAGGATTTTCATCAGGACGGCCACTATTGCAAAGGGGTTTCTTCAGCAATGAATGTCCTAAGGCAACCATGAGGGGGATAGAATACATCAAATGAACACCCAAGTTCACTACACCTACAGGTTATGAGCCTGCCAGCGTTCCACTGAACTGTCTAGAAAAGTCCGTGGTCGTCATCTATATTCTGCTAGACGACTAGATCACAATCACATCAAGGCCTCTCATCATTTTTATTTCATCACACATCACTATCTACCCATGTTATACCCAACATATCTTTAGATAAAATATACTTATTTATATACAGCTTAAAACCTGTATAACATATTCATTCAATAATCATACCACATAACAGATAGTATATAATCACATAGCACGTATTTCATAGAGTATAATTCTTATACGTGTATTATAGAAAGCAACTACGCGCTTACTCATATCATATATCTAATACATTCATCAATACTTGTATTAAAATCGTGTATGTGAAAGGGACTATGCACTCACTTGATAAGACAATGCTCGGACAGCACTACGGCTCTTAAAGCAGTACTTCTTCGGTGAAACTGTGATCTCTTCACACACCGGGCTTCTCGCGGGCAGAGCTTCGACTCGGAAACTCTTTTCTTCTCAGGATCTTCGGAGCTTCGGGACTCGCTTCGGGTCTCGGGATGATACCAGGGCTTCGGGGGTATAACTTGCACGTAAATCGAGGTAATATGGAGTGAGAGGAAAGAAATTGGCAACACTAAACAGCTGGCCTCGCTTTCTATTTATAGGGCTGATTTTTCGAAATTCACGTCGTGAACCCTTATTTCACGTCGTGAGATTGGCAGGCATAGGTCATCGCGTTCGTCATCAGTCCACTTTTTCTGTCAGGCTCCAGAAGGCGTCAAAAGACAGTTCACGTCGTGAACACTTTTTTCACGTCGTGGTCTCTGACACGACTTTGGGGTTCGCGCCCCGAACTTCAGAAATTCATATCTTTCGCATACGAACTCCGTTTTCGACGTTCTTTATATCAACGCGAAGGTGAGATTATGCTCTACAACTCTCGTTTAGACTTCGTCGGCTAATTTTGACTTTATTTTTATTATATTAATTTTAGTAGGCCGGGACAGAAAAACTCCGTTAGGAATTCATAACTGCTTCATCCAACGTTCGTTTTCATTTGCGTTTTCACCGTTGGACTACTATTGACGAGATCTTCAATTCTCGTTTAGATTGTTTCGGCTAGAAATCACTCGATCTCAAAATCGAACTTCGGGCTGCATACTGCTAAGTCGAAACTTAGAAAAATCATAACTTCCTCATATGATGTCAGATTTGGACGTTCTTTTTATGCACGCTCTCGGTTTAACGAACTCTACGACTTTCGTTTAGATCACTAAGGCTAAATATCACTCTATTGTAAATTCACTATTTACGTCACGCAGTGTCGTACCGGTTCTGTCGCGAAACTTCAACATGTCATAACTTCTTCGTTATAACTCGGATTTCGGCATTCTTTATATATTCGGAAACCTTGCCATGGCCACTACAACTTCCTTCATAGATATCGGGCTTATCTAATATTTTATTTTATCGCTTATTTTTATCCTTAATTCATTTAAATCACACAATTAAGCAATAAACACATAATACTCAAATAATACATTCTTATTATTTCAAAACGAGTTACAAAGGTTAACCTAGACTATTGCATCATCATTAATGCCTAGACTAGAAACACGGGCGTTACATCAATTCATTCTATCTGTTAGTCATACGTTGTCTCCTCTGCGTGATTAGAAAAGATCCGACCTGGAACACAACATATGCATCATTCTACCTCTCAATCCCTCTATCTGTGTTAGTCACATGTTGTCCCCTCTGCGTGATTAGAAGAGATCCGGCCTGGGGCACAACATATGCATTTCTAAATCCAACTTCTCTATTAATGATTGTCTACTCACCTAAAGCAAAGATTTCTTTGGAAGTTCTTGATTGTCGGGGTATATCGGGAAGTGGGGAATACATTCTAGTGTATTTAAAAATTGAACCATTTAAAAGGTTGTCTATAGATCTTGCTGCTTAATTTAAGTGGACAACAATATCATTGGTCGTCCTCGGTTAAATGTTCTATTTAGGAATATCATTTAGGAAAATAATCACAATGTCTTGTCACTTATAGTCTGTCCAACTCGTCAATATCCTTTGTGTTTAAGTGGATCACAATATTGGTGATTGCCAGAGCTAAACATGCAGGTGTGTGTTGTCAAACAATATTGAATTGTCTGACAACTTTGATCCCAAAAGTTCTAATTTTAGTTATTATTTTTGTTTTTGGTAAATTTGTTCATATTTTTCCTCTATGCACAAATTTAGGGGGAGAATTAAAAATCATAAAATTCATAAAAATCATAAAATTTAAAAATAAAAAATATTGTTCTTAATTTTATGATTTCATTAAAATGTGTTTATTTTTAAGTTTATTTAAATTTTATTTTTGCATTTTTATTTCTAATTAAAATTTTAATTTTATTTTTTTATTTGTTACTTACTTTCGAATTTAATCTCTTATGATTGTGAGAGTCATTTTAAAATTTAGCCCACTGGACCGTGAACCCAAGGACCGGACCGTGAACCCAAATCTTATTTATAAAAGCCTCATTTTTCCTTTTTCACTTCATTTTACCGTGAACTCAAAAGAGGAGCTGTTCTTATTCTCTCTCAAAACCCTCTCAAAAACCCTTTTCCCTCACAACCGTTCATTGTCTCATTCTCATCCGAATCCCATCTCGATTGACTGCTATTTTGTGTAGGTACATTGATTTTGAGTTTGGTGTTTCATCTATCATGTTTTTTCGTGGAAATTTTGGAGAATATTGGAAGGGTTTCAATGAACTGATGGTGGTTCCGGCGAAAATGACGACGATGAATCGTCGAATTATATTTGGGTTTTCATTTTGATCCGGATCCGATTGGAAAGCCATTTACTTGACCGTAAACGAGGAAACCCATTATTTGACAGTAAACGAGGGAATTCATCATTTTGACCGTAAACAGGGAAGCTTGACTTTGACCGTAAAAGGTTGAAGTTTGACTATGACCGTAAACGTTTTAGTCAAAAGAATTTTCTTTGACCGTAAACGCTTGGTCAGAAGGAAGTTATTATTTTTAATAAGAAGTTATTATTCTTATTATTCTTAATAATTAAACCTTGAATCGAAATCAATAGTTTTGGACAAATTTTTATTTATAATTTTTAATCTCCAACTTTTATTATTCTTACTTGACTCGTTTGGTGCAGATAAATGGCAGATCGGTTAAAGTTCTATGAAAATCACAATGTTATTGGATTTCTTATGGATCCTCCTGCTGCTCATCGAGAATTCAAATCTGTGATTGTGGGCTTGAATAATTACAGAATTTCTCACGTTTTACGTTCAAATCCAGTCGTTTTCAAGGAACTAATTGTTGATTTCTCGAAAAATGCTTCTGTCAGAAACCAGGGTGCAGATGGAGCTGGCACTATTGAATCAGTGGTGAAGGCAACTAACATAGTTATCTATGAGCAAATTATTCAAGAAGTGCTTGAATTTGGTGATGCTCCTGCATTTCCAACCGAGTACCCTGTTAGTAAAGTGAAGGAGGTGCTTGAGAAAATGTGTTATGAATGAACTTATCCTCCAACTATCAAGAAGAAGCTGCCACCTTATTGGAGGTTTCTAGCACATTACTTTATAATTTGCATTTCTGGAAGGAAGTCAAGGTTTGATGAGATTTCTCAGACTGCGACCTCAGCTATTGTTGCTCTAACAATGAATTGGGATTACAACTTTTCAAAGTTTGTCTTTGAAGAAATGAAAAGAAATCTTCAGGGGAAGAAGAAGGATCAATTCTTAATGTATCCCAGGTTTCTTCAAATGATATTCAATGAAAAATATTCCCAAATTGAGAGGTCATCTGAAACTTTGGATATGAAAGCTTTGGGTCCCAACACTTTTGGACTCATGAAGCAATCTAGAAAATCAACTAAGATCACCTTTCAAGGAGTAAAAGAGTTGGTTAAATTTGGAAAGTTAGCAGAAAAGGAAGGTGTTCAAGCTTTTAGTGTTCCAATTGCGATAGTAGCTGAAGAACATGTAGCTCCAGCATGACCAAATCTCAGTTCTTCGTTTGAGGTTTCTGATAGTGACGATGACAATGATACTGATGATTATGTTGGTGATTCTGATGATGATGATGATAATGATAGTGATGATGGAGTGGATTTTCGTATGTATGTTCCACCGAAGGAGCCGGTTAGTAAGGATATGGATACTCCAGCTGAGACTGAAAAGGATGTAAATATTTTCAAGCAGTCAAATGATCCCACACCCGAACAGATGGACGCTCCCATTGCTCGACTACAGTCAACTGCAAGGAAGCCTCCCCAAGCAGTTCCTGTTATTTCTGATTCTCCATCTAAGAGTGATAACATTGATTCAGACGCCTCCTTAGTGCCAAGATGTCACACCCCCGAACCAGACGGCGGAAACGTCCGAGGGCTTGCGTGACTTAAATTGAAATATCATCACACTGAATATACATGAAACACAACACATTCATCACCAAACATTACATAGTACAACTGGCATTGTATACATCAAGTACATGGTTTACATTACATGATCCCAAAATATAAAGTGTTTGGTGATTAGCAACTACAAAAGAAACTTTCAACACACTGGATGCTTCCTCATTCTAACGATTACCTGAGAATAAAAGTTATTTTGAAAACGGTCAACATATATAATGTTGGTGAGTTCATAAGTATGTTTGATGTAAAATAGTTTATGTCGTTCGTAAAACCCAGAAAATCTGATATTTTCTGTAATAAGACTTTTCATGAAAATGTTATGATGATCCTGCAAGTATATGCGTGAATGATTTCAAAACGTGTATAAATGAGAAGTTTTGCATTATAGTTTTTGAAAGTACCAGTGAGTAAGATTGGTTTCCCCGGAAAACCCGATGTTTTTCGATAAAAAGTTATGATTGTTTTGTATTATTGTATCGTCACAACGAATGAATATGATTTCCCTTGATTACTTAAATGGTATCGGATTTTCTATGTGAGTCGTTATAACCATGCATGATAATGACTAGTTCGTCTGTCTTGGCATTCTATTGAACACCAGAATTGATCTTAAGATTTTGTCACCCTAGACTGGCCGAGTCTAACTGTAGCGAACAACTTAGGTGTGGGGGAGTCACCCCCATATAGATCTATATACAAACTCTCGCTCTCCCTCCAGGAGACTTTGATTACAGCTACAGACTACGACCGACACTTATTGGTGTCACCCGTTGTTACTCACTTAATCCACATGAATTTGATTAACCTTGATTAATGACCTGATTTTAGTTTACTTGAAGAGAAGGTAAGCCTAACAGACGAGGAGAAGAGGACTACTAGGCCCTACTAATTACGTATGTTATTTAAGGCTGTCGAGTATACGAAAGGCGCGTTGGCCCATTTCGCATAAGATTTATTTGGACCTGACTAGCAATGCTAATGGGCCACTGAGGCCCAATAGCATGTAAAAGCCATTGAGGGTCCCTTAAACATGTAATTGGGTCACAAGAGGCCCAATAACATGTATTATTTATGTTGGGACCAAAAGTCATGTTAATGTGTCACGAAGGCCCAATAAGCATGATTAGAATCTCTCAAGCCCAACAATTAGAATGTTTACTTATTTTGTATAGTATTAGTGTTGCGAAGTTGTTTAATCGATATGTCGTAAAAATCACCAATTTGTTTTATAACGATTCATAGATTTATAAAAATAGTTATTTTTCTATTTAAAACCCATAAGTTATAAAGTTTCGTATATTTTGACCCAGTTATTTTATTATTAACATAATTAACCAAAAATATTAGTTTGACCTATTCAGCCCCTTATTTTGGTAAAGTTGGCAATTTTTAGCCATTTTTATGAAAAATGACATATTAGGTCCTTGAACTCTTTTTCTTGACATTTTTGGCCTAAACACTTAATTAAATAATGTTTTAAGCCCAAAATTTTATTTTGGACAGTTTCAGCTGAAAGGTCATAGTATATGGTTTGTGTAGGCAGAAATGGCAAGTCTCAAGGTTGCTGAAAGTCATAACGTGTCAATTCTCCTAGATGATCCCCCAGTGGCACACAATGAATTCAAGTCAATGATGTTTGGATTAAGGGAATGCTGCATCTTCACTGCACTAACCTGGAACCCAGTCATCTATCTGAACCTAATCAATAAGTTCTGGAGATCTACAAATGTCAAGAAAGGAGAAGATGGCTCAGTGATCATTGAAGCTTCTGTCAAAGGGTGTAAAGTTGTCATCACTGAGCAATTTATCAGGGATGTTTTAATGATTGATGATCAGGCAACTTACCCAACTGATATCAATTTGGAACAAGTTGAAACGTATCTTGAGAAAATGGGATATGAAGGTGACTTCCCACCCACTTTGAAAAAGTTGTTACCTCCTTACTGGAGGTTTCTAGCTCACGTATTCGTTAACTACATTTCTGGAAGGAAGGGTGGCTCAGATGAGATATCTTCAAGGAATACTCAGGCAATTGTTGCTCTGGCTGCGGGGATTGACTTTAATTTTTCAAAGTTCATTTTGGAGGAAATGGTTACAAATGCTAACAAGAAGTCAAAAGATCAATTTCTATTGTACCCAAGATTCATTCAAATCTTTATCAACAAGCAATACCCTGAGTTGGTCAAGACAGGACAGATACTAGACATGAAAGCATTTGGTACCAACACTATAAGCCTCATCAAGCAAAATCAAAAAGGGAAAATCATGTTTCAGGGAAAGTATCCACTCATGAAATTTGGAAAGTTTATGGAACTGGCCGACTCGTCAGAATCTCATGGGTCCCCGAAACAAGAGTCTACAGATCAAGCATCGTCAGATCATGCAAATGTAAATGATGATGTCATCAGCGTTTCAGACCATGAGATTGAAGATGTTGCTCCGTCCACCATTGTTGCAGAAGAGCATGATCTTGAGAATGTGACAGTTCAAAATGATTTCGGTGAAGGAGGAGAAAATGATGATTATGAGGATCTTGACCTATCCGGTTACGACAGAGATGATGTAGCGGTGAATTGTGGTGTGAATGAGAATCTTTTGTCAAACGAAGACCTTGATGACTTATTTGACTACATCCATGATGGTGCTAATCAAACACCGGAGATAAGGGAGAAAGCTGATGCTCAAGAGACTGTGCCTCCGTCTACCGTTCAGATGGCTGATTCATCAATTCCTATGGACACATCATCAGGGATTCCTCCCCTTGACAATGTTGTTTCGACAACCGAGCCCATTGTAAGTGATTCCCTGACAACTCTGACCTCCTAGCCTCCTTTGAAGAGACGCAAAAATGATCCAAGGATGGGAGTACTTTTTCCTGACCTGACTCAAAATACCGTGACTCCTCCATCTTCAACATTTGCCCCATTCTCATTTGTACCCACTCAAGAAGGTCCCAGCTCAATCCATGAAGCTGGTGGTTCGTCTGCTGGCCAGGAATCATCCCCTCCAAGGTCAGATCATGATGCTGCATCTGAGAGGCTAGCTATGCATATGGCCCAGCAACTAAGTCCAACTCATTCCTTTTGCGGAAAAGGAATATCTTTTGAGGAATGTTTGTCTGGAGATGATGATTCCTTGGTGCCTGAGCTGAGAAAAGAGATTGGTGTGCTAAACCAAAAGCTTATTGAGAAAGACCTTGTGATCAGTCAGCATTCGTCCCGAATTGCTGATCTTGAGGCCTCCAATGCGCAACTCATTATTCGTATTGATGATCTTGAGGCAGATAAGTCACTGAAGACTGAGAAACTTTCAACTCTTGAGACTCACCTTGGTGCTCTGTCAGCATGCTACTTTGACATGCAACAAAAACTGACAGAGGAACTTGGTGACAAATTCAAGTCCTCAGTGGAAATCCTTCGAGTTGACCTTCCATCTGGAACCCATCCTGGTGACTCCTCCTCATCCAAGAAAACTATGATCTACGATAAATTTCCCACAGAACCTGTCCAAGCTCCTCATATAATAGCCATTAAGAAAGCAAAGCTGAATGAATCCTCCAAGAAACCGCAAATCATGTTCAAGAGAAGTTCAGATGACAACGCGCCTCCAGGTCAACCAAAAATCACTCGTTCTGATCTTGAGAAGAAGAATGATTAAAATTGAGCTTGCATACGATTAGATCTGAAAATCGTCTAATACAACTCAATGGACCGAAAACACAGTGAACGACCCTGACAAATGACATCTGACAACCTATTTATACCAATAGACATTGACCGAAAACAGGTTTTCGCTCACACCTTGACCGAAAACCTTCCTAGACCAAAAACTCTAAAACATACCAAAAGACTCCAACTAACAATCTAAAATGCCCTAACTCATCTATACATGTAATGCCTAGCCCAAACCATATACTATGAACTTTCAATCTCCCCCTTGGTTTGTAGCTTTCTTTTCTTAATTGACCCAACAAGCTCCCCCTAAAAAGTAGCTGGCTTTTCTTGTTCATCTTCACTGTAAGCTTGGCTTCAGCATTTATCTTCAAATTCTTCACAACTTCAAAATTTGACATTTAACCCACATTGGGTGAGGAGGCTTGATGTACTGATTCTTGAAAGATAGCGCTTTCAGCTTGAGAATCTTCAGAGAGAACAACGGAGAGAACGAATCTTCTGGATCACTTCAGCAGGTTTTTAGATAGCAGCAGACTGATTGAGGAGGCTTCAATGCAATCTGTGACATAATCTTCAATTTCAGCTTCACCTTGCTTCTGGGGTTGAAAGATTGAATGTCGAAAGAATAATCTTCATTTCTTGCTCCTTCGAATGAGAATTCTTCGATGTTCACGGATGAAGCCTTGGCTCAGAAAATCTTCGATATAGTATCCATGAGTCTCATCTACACCTGGATTCACTTTTCAAGACAAAACAAAACTAAAAGAAAACTTAGCACACAATATTTTTTGGATTTTTTTTAATACTCCCCCTAAATTTGTGCAAAGAGGAAAACTATGAACAAATTTAACAAAAACAAAAATATTTGGGATCAAAGTTGTTAGACAGTCTTAATCCGTTCATCGGTACCTCCCCCTTCATGAATAGATCTGGTCGATCACCGGTATTGTGGTCCACTTAAACACGAAAGATAGTGACAAATTTAGGACATACTACAAGTGACAAGACATTGTGATCCTGTATTCCTAGACAAACTTCGTAAAGACCATTCAGCTGACGACGACCAAGGATATTGTTGTCCACCTAAATTGAGCAGCGAGATCTACAGACAATCTATAAATGTTCATATTTTGTTGTACTAGAACGTGTTTCCCGCTTCCTGATATACCCCAATAATCAAGAACTTCCAAGATACTCCTTACTTTAGGTGAGCAGACAATTATTAGGAGAGAGGATAGATTTAGAATGCATATGCTGTACACCCAGGTCGGATCTCTTCCAATCACGCAGAGGGTGAAACATA